CCAGGAAGGAGGGAAAAAAAGGGATCAAATACTCCTAACAAATCTGTATCAGGAGGGAACCATAAAAAGATACAACCAAGATAAAACCTTATGTGAGGAAGTTAACTGCAAAGAGTAAATCCTCATAACTTTAGGAAGAAGTACCTGTATGCAGCAGGCCCTTCTGCCATGTGATGTGTAAGAGAAGCTAATACTGTAAAGGAGGTTGCTCAAATTGCCTCATTGTTGGAAGCTGCCATCCATGCCCTGTACAGGACCAAGAGAACAACAGTCTCTCCTGTACTGGAATTGATTTGGAGGGACCTGCACAGCTGGGCAACATGGGCAGACCAACAGCTGGGTGCAAAATGAAACAAGAACTATCACATTTCATCTGCTCATTTCAAGTGACCAAAGTGATTGTCACCTGGGCCTCCAAATCTTGCCACCTTGTCATGGACAGTGTCTATTTCACTGCCATTACAATCTAATCTCAGCTAATGTGATTTACACATAGTAATTAATGGAGCTTCAGCTGTAAGGAAATTGGTCATTCAATTTGAGTTTAATTTACTGCACACGCATACATTAGAAAGCACAAATTCCATAGCTGTCATCTGGGCACAGAGGAAGGCTTGTGTGCTGGGAAGGAGAAAATAAAACACCTAATAAGTAATATGCCACTGGCCTTCTACACCTTCTGCTCCCGAAGCATCTCCTCGATGGGAAGATGGCACGCAAATAAATCCAGCCATCTCAGTATGGATGCTTGGAGATATGAAGGCAAAGTTCCTGCTGTCACTGCTATCCCATTTCCCAACTGCAGGAAGCATCAGCCTAGCATGTTGGTATGTATGGCCTCAGTCTGATCCCTGCATATGTCTGGGTGTGTATCCATTGGAGAGAGCAGAGGGGCTTGATGGGGTATAAGGGCTGCAAAAGATGCTGTATCTGTCGCATACAGATGAACAACTCCAGTGACAGAAAACCATGCCTAAAAGCCAGGACAACCTTTCACAGCAAGGGCAGCATTTCATTTTCAGTTACCTTAAGTTAAAGGTGGCCTCACACCAGCCTAGCCTTTAGAGCATCGAATAACCATGCCCAAACAAAGCCATAAGCGGGTGATCCACACTGCCCTCTGTAGGACCAGGACGGGGTTCTCCCAGCTCAAAGACTACTCCACACAAGATACCCACAAGATGTCCAGCTTTTCTAGGGTTTCTCTGCAGAATGCCTCCAGCTTTCTGCTTGCATAAAAAGGAAATCACTCACACCTTATTTTAAAGTGGATGAATTAAAACCAATCACTCAAGGTGGTCTGTGCAGTCTCTTTAGTGCCGTTAAATTCCACACGTGCAATCTAACTGTAAGACCTTCCCTGTTAAATTGTAAGCGCATATACATGGAAGGCTTATACACAGTGAAAGGCTGAAAATGCTTCCTGAGTCAGCACATATTTGAAATTAAATTCTAGGTAGAGTGTACGCAGTTTGTCTTTTAAAATATTATTGTTAGCTTTACAATCTATTGTGCTGTATCAGTTTTATTAATAGGTTTCATTGCCAGCAACTGTCCTGTTATTTAACTGAATGACGAACAACCTTGGCAGAAAATTATTTCTACCAAGGAAACAGTGTTTGTGTGGACATTTTAATCTACCAAATTTGAAAATTGACTCTTAAAACAAAACATTGACACAAAAGAAATTAAGCACAAGCCATAAACATCACCCAAATGTGTAGCGTATACTAATTTGGTGCCATCCAGAGTTCAGTGCTGAATACAAGTCACCCAAGGTGATCCCTTTGATTTGTTCCCCGATTTGCTACAGCCCCGACATAGCACAGCCAACTAAGCACCATCTTACCTCGCTGAATGAGTTTAAGCACATGCTCAAACTTTAATCCAGCATTTGGGTGCTCTACCAAGCCTTCAACAGACCCTAAGAAAAGAGAGCACAGATTTTAAAAAAGATACTGCTGGGGGCATTTTTAAACGTGTCTCTGCACAGAATGTAAAACTCATGTGACCACAGCATACTGCGGGTGACCACAAGGCACCCCAGGTACCTGTGAATCAGCTCTTTGAGATATGAGCATCCTCATGGTAGAATCACCTAACACACCTCACTTGGTAAAGCTTAAGATACAGCTGAATTAGATATACCTTCACAATATCCACTGTATGCAAATACTTTTCCAAAAACTAATGCAAAGTGACATTTAAGGCTCAAAAGGGACTCATTAACACCCCAATTCCTGCTACAAAAGGAAGCTCTGCCTTTCTTTCTCTGCCAGGTTTTTATTTTTAAGTAAATAATAATACTTAAAATAATGTGGTTCCTTCAGCAGTTTTAAAATGAAGAGTCAGCAAGGAGTTTGGGATAAAAAAAAAACCCACAGATATAAAAATAGGGGTATGCATAAAAGTACAGACATAAAAATACGGGTATGTATACGCAACAGTACAGTTTCTTTAAAAGAAAATAATTGGGCAAAAAAAGCCTCCATCTACGCCTTCCCCCCTCCAGAAAGGGGGAAACCAAAACCAAACCTACAGCTCAAAGCACACTAGGAATCCCCTGGAAGACTCCCAGGGTTTCCTGAAGAAATCCATGCCCCTGCTTCCCCCTGCTGGAGTGTGGCGTGGAACTGCACCCGGCCATTGGAAAAGTCGCCTGCTCTTCCTCTACAGCTGAAGGGTTTCCCCGCTCACCAGGCACATGCGATTTACAGAGGGTTTACCAGGTTTTTGCACAAGGGTAACTTTATAGTCACCCAGCATCAGACTAGGAAAAAAGTGACATTTCCTTTAATGTTAATCAACTGCTGTTAAAATTTGGGGGCAGGAAGAGGGGAGGCACAGAAGGCTACATCATTTTATCCAAAGAAAAACCCATTTTTGTAACTCATTTACTTACACATATCTACTTCATATTTATCCCCTACTTCCACAAGCACCATGAATTACATGCCCTAAATGTAATTCATGGTGCTTCCCTCCGCTAATCACAAGCTACAGCACTCCATATTCATACACAAACTGGGCCAAAAGGAGCAGAACCAGTTGCACTGCCTCACCCTCCTGCCTATTCTAGCCAAGTCCAATATTTTTCCCTTTGGAAATGGCTTCTGCAAGCCATGAAGGCATTTGCAGCATCCCTGCTTGAGTGGACAGTCCAGCTGTGCATAAGACTACTCTGACCTAGAACAAGAGGCTTACAAAAAGGAGTGAGAGAGCAAAAGGGCAGAAATAAACCTAGTCACACTAAAATGATACTAAATGCTTCCAAATTATGCTTGGGCCACTATTTTACACAGCATGTTGCAGCAAAGCAGTTTTTCTTTCTAGAACTTTTTTACTTTTCACTTACTAGCCCAACTAAAGTTTGAGAAGAGTTAGGTGTAAAATCAGCTGAATTCATTTCTAAGCCCCATCAAAAACCAACCGAGTGCAAAATGCTGCTTCTTCCTGGGAAGTTTTACCCATCCTGGTAACTGTGATTCAAGAGAGAGTTAGTCAATCTTCAAAGGATAATTCAAATTGTTATTAAAAAATTGTTATTAATAGACACACCACACGATAGACCAACCAGCAAGAGTTGTGGATCTGCAACTGGTGGTTTTAATTGTGTGAAGCTCTTAAATACCTCCCCAGCCACATTTCTGCATCTCTTGGAAGGTGCTGCATATTATGCACAACTATACAGCTGGTATTTCTAAGAGAGAAAGCATCAGTATGCCTTCCTCTCATAATGAATGTATTTCCTATACCACTACAATTCTTCTCCTCACAGCTTCTATTAAGTTACCTTGCCTATACAGGGGAGCCACATTCGAAGAAGTATTAGATTTAGCCTTTGTTATCTCAATAGAATTATCCTTGGTTTGCAGACTTGCAGTGTAATCTCAGCTGTCAGCTTCGATCTCCAAGAAGAAAATACTTCAGTGTTCAGACCAGGGACATGATTCTTTTTTTTTTTTTTTTTTTTTTTTTACAAATCACTTTAGAAAACTGATTTAAGTGATTTAAAAGTGATAAAAAAGTGCATACTCATCTTGCAAGTACAGTAAAATGTAGGGATCTATAGTCAGAGCACTCCCCTCCAGCCCCTCAATGCTCTTATCAGTTAGACCTAACCATAATCACTTCCCAACTTTTAACAACTGCAGATGCTCCACTATGAATTGTTCCGCCAGAACAATCTAAGCTTGGTATTCATATTGCCTACTCAGTAATGAGTCTGGCAACCCTTCAAGCATTTCTCTAACCAGAGCAGTATCTGACTTGAAAGCCTACTGAATGCAACTAGTGCTTTTTTATTTTGTTTCTCTACTGTATTTTACAAATAAAAACCGGAATTAAAAGACATCAATTATACAAGCCACTTAATTTAAACCTAGTCTTCATTCTTCAGCTCAAACACCTAACACTGCTTATGCTTCACAAGGTTTTTCCTGCCCAGTATGCACTTCAGAAGTACTTTGAAAGATACCAATACCTCATTTAGAACATTTTCAAATTTTATTTGCAACTATTGCAATTACAAAGAATATAACAATGTAAATTTGCATTTAAAGTGTCAACCCTTTCTAATAAACAAGGTCACAAATTCGTGTGCACCCATTCTGGCTTTGGGCAATCTTCATAGGATGGAAGTTTTCCTGCATGGCAATTTGTCACATTTTACAGCACTGCTTTTTCATAGGAACAGGAATACATCTGTTCCTACTTGTAGAACACTTATATGTATTTCTGAAATATAGAAATACAGCTATTAATCACTTGATTTGTTTTACTGAGACAAAGAACAAGAAGAATCCATCCCTGGCTTTTGTCAAGTCATACAATACACTAAAAACCCTGATTCTCACCTCCCTGAATTTATTCTCTAACTAGACTTGGGTTTCTTTAAAAAGGAGTAGGGACAGAATCACTGTCTTTTTAACAGCCCTGCAGGAGACCAAGGTAAAAAAAGAAAAACAAACCTCAAAGAGATGCACACTATTACAAATGCAGCCATCAAATTATCCAGTTTATTGATGGGAATTCAAAATTGATACAAAACATGCCCTCTATGCATGTTGTATTTTACCCTTAAAATGTTTCCAACAATGTCAGGTAGATTAAGAATATACTTCGGCTTTTAGGATGTACCTTCTATAAAGGCACTACACAAAAGCCACTAACTTACGTAACATGTGGTCCCAAAATTGCTTTTAGACATTTTGTTTATCAAAAGACTCAGATCTGCTGCTGATCTGATGAAATACAGGCTTAAAAATGTTTTAAGCCATTAGTAACTATTCTATGGCAGAGTCAAGAAAGTTTATGATATCCTTTATAATCTTGGGCGTAAAAAGGCAACAGTCCTAAAAAAAGCAGCCCTCCAGAATATATGGAATGTGGCAATGGGTATGATGCCAATTCATAATGATCAAGTTAAGTAAAACAGATTTTTAAAGCTATGAATGATGGGAACAGTATCACAGCAAAATATTTAATGAATACCACAGAACCAATCAACTTGGAAAGTTGAGCAGATGTTGTTTCAATCAACAGAGATTTGTCATGTCAAATATACCAAAATGTTCTCTAAAATAAATTCCTAATGCAGAAAAATGGATTTAAAGTTTGCTCCTAGCTAATAGTACCTTTTATTTAAATTGGACCCTAAACTGATCAGACAATACATAGCCCACACTTTTGGACATTTATAATAAAAAAGCTTTTATTTTCAGTTGAAACAAATGCACTGTCCTGCACTTGAAGGCTATAATGAGCCATAAACATATTCCAAGGTGTATCAATGGCAACAGATTTGTTTCACCTCCACTGAGAAGTTACATAATGCACTCTTAATTGGTAAAGAAAAATTAAACTCAGCCTTCTCAAAGCTTCTGTACTGTGTTTCTTGGTTATTGTACAAGTTCCACAGTCAGACCAAGAGTTTGCAGTGTGTGCAGATATTGTAGTCAATTAATAGTATTGTTTAATCATCATCTTCCTCCTCTTCCTCTTCCTCCTCAAAACTATCTTCAAAGCCCTCACTGTCTTCCTGGTCCTCATCACCTTCTATTGCTGTATCCCATTGTGGATGATTTTCTGGCACTGGTTTTGCTTCATGAACTTCCAGCTGTAATTGGATAAAGAAGAAAACAAGGAAAAAAGGGTTACAAACAATACACAGACAAAATAAACAAACAAACATACCAGAACAAATGACACACCACACAAAATTGACAGTTTAAAAAACAAAGCACCATCCCAAAACAAAAATCAACAACTGCTTCCAGAAATAAGGCATACCAGATTTTTCTCATTAACTGGATGTATCTAGGACAAAGGGCTGGGAAATGGCATGGCAGACCTCAAAGTATAAAGCCAGAACCAACCATAGAAAATGTGGATTAAAATATGTAGGCACTGGAAAGCATCACAAACTTTAGTCCCATTTAATCCATCATAACATTGTCACTGCTGGCATCAAGTAGAAATGGCTTACAAGCCTCTTCTTGAAATTGTTTTAGAAGTAGGACAGCTTGAATTCTTAAAGGTTAACAGGATTTTGGGGGTTGCAATAGTCCTGTGAAGTAGCTTTCAATATAATACAAATATATAACACAATTAAACATCACCTTCAATGGTTTAATCTGGTCCAATCCCATATATGAATCCGATCTTAAATAAACTGTGTACTGATAGTTGCCAGGCTTGCCTGGTGCTGGGAACTTGAGCTCTACCTACAAAACAGAATTTATGCAGTAAGTTCTTGCTGCTTTCAAATGACACATTAGAACAAGTACCCGAGTACTCTAGTGAACAATAAATACCACTACAGAATAATCCTTTTTTTCGTATAAAATTTGTTTCTTACAAGTGACACTTCTCTGAAAACCTCTGCATAGTAAAATACCTGCAGAAAAGAGAATACCCAAGTACAATACATTCCATGAAAGCTGAATAACCAGTCACATTTTTTTTCTGAATTAGACCAAGACTCTACATTAAGTACACAATTTCATCCTGTTGTATGTTTCCTTAATCTCAAAAAACCAAACAGGTTAAAACATTTAGTTTGCTGAAAGTATTAGATTAACTCTAGTGCTATTTGAAATTGAACATAAAATCTAGTTTGAAAGAACAAAATACATCAAATCTCCATTTTTCAGAAAAGCAAAGAACACAGCCAAAGGTTACAGTCTCAGAAAGGTTCAATATGAGCCTTTGCTTTACAGAAAAAGAACACTTAGTATTTCTCACACATTTAAGTAACTTTAGAATGATCACTGTGTACAAATACTGGTTTTCATCACCTTTTTATATGAGGGGGAAAAATAAACCCACAACATTCTGCAAATAAATTTGGAAGTCTTACATTATTTTTCCTTTCTCCATTATTAGTTTCCACAGTTAAAAGATTCTCCTCTACTTTAATCAGGAGAGTAAAATTTGTTTTCCATCTTGAGATAAATATGAAAAAAGCAGCTAAATGTATTTGCATATCATAAGACACTTCAGTACATTTTTGTAATACCCAAAACAAAAATTTTTAAAGTACTTTACCTCTTCTTTATCTTTTAGTGTACAAACATGATATGGCATACATATTAGCATCTGCTCCTTCCGATCTGCAATATATAGCCACCACCATTCTTGTTTTTCCTTTCACAGAAGAAGAAAAAACCCAAAGAGGATTATTAAAGTCTCATAAAATGATGCCCTTACACTCTGGAACAGGTAATTGTGATTCACTGGTCCTTACAATACATACAGAAAGGAGGTGATTTGTGTTTGCTGGTTTATTTTTTTTTTAAACTCTTGGATGGGTATGAATAAAATATACAGTATATACTGCACACTGAAAGCAAACAGGTTACTACAAGTAACTTGCAAGTTTCCATTCCTCCAACTCCTTTTCTTGGGGGGGGGAAAAAAAAAAAAAAAAAAAGAAAAAAAGAATGGTGGAGGGGGATGAGAAAGATTACTTCATATTTATGAAGTGGTTTATTAGATAGGTAATAGTCATAACAGCATAAGACTACCCTTAGAGAAAAAAGGGGAAAACCCGACACCTTTTAGACAACCCAAATATTAGACTATTGAACTGTGTTCTAATACAGTTTTACCCACCCCGATTGCCTTGTAACTGATCATGATTATAACAGACTAGAGCCCTGAAGAGTGCATCTTATGACAGTTGCAAGTCAAGCTCTAAACCAGGAGGCCAATTTACATACATACATCCATATATATATATATACACACACACATACATACACACAGACCACCACCAATCAGGTTAATTGCTTCAGTGCCACCTGGAAGCGGTTGTTTTGTTTCATTTTTAATCTAACAGAATTAGAAGAACTGAATAAAAGATTACAGTGGACTTTAACAGCATTTGATTCCCACTTTTGGAATCTGGAAGGGGCTTTGTGGTGGTGTTAAGTAGAATTTGAAGAATTTTTCTCTCTACTGAAAAAGAGTCAAAAGTTCAGTATTTTTGGTGAGGTTTTTTTTGGGGGGGGGAGTGCTGGTGTGGGAGGTTTTTTTGGTTTTAACACTTAAGAAGCCAGTGTCTGGTGATCCGAAATTTAAATAATGCAGGTTGAAAAAGTACAAAAGCTAAATTAACTTTTCTCTTTTGAAGTGACTAATTGTTATGCTAGTAATAATTATCATCATCTCATTAAAATATTCAACTAGGAAACTACAGATTTAGAACAGCAAGACACTTACACCAGCAACCAAAACACCCTGGTTAGCACTGCTGAGTCCAGGAGCAAAGGAGTGTAAAATTAACTCAATATGTTAATGCCCGGATAAAGTAAAAGCATCTGCACCACAGTAAAGCAACAGCATTTCTTCACATACTTAGAACAGGCACTGAGAACAGGACAAAACCCAATTCACATACTATTTAAGACCTGAATTTGTAGAATGATAAGAAGTCAGCTATTCCAAGTGATTTTCTTTATGAAAAAAAAAAAAAAGTCCCATATGATTACAAGGCATAAGTTATTTTATCTGTAAGTTTCAACGATAAATATATTGTCAATCTGCATAACAGCTGTAGCAAAAAAGAATCTTATGCAGTTGAAGTGTTTATTCCCTAGCAAGGGGCCCTCTAGGAATAGAAGGATAAAGAGTATAAATAGTGCAGATGAACAAGAACTACAGAAGACAGATCCATTACAAAAATGGCTACTCACCACTCTGGTCCTATAAGGTCTCTGACCATAGAAAAAGGGATCTGCATTTGTATCAATAGGTTTTTGATGATACCAAAACACCGTGCTGATTTATACATTGTGTATGCTGCCATCACTCTCAGTGGCAAGGAAATTTTTATTTTATATTTTTTTTGAGAACAAAGACCAAAACTGTCAACTGGATTTTCACGAAAACTAGTAAAAGTAATAGCCAAGGGAGAAAAGAAACACCAGAACAAATGCCATTCATTGATAAAACGCTCAAAGGAATCTATAGAGTAAACTCTTTGGAAGTAAAGCTCATGACCCCAAAGTGTCACTGCTTTTTTATAGAAAGGACAACTGTGCGGGAGTGTCATTTTCCTTTCTCTTATTGGGTGGAATTTAAAGTTTATGCCTGTGAGAATCTGGCAAGCTAACAGGCAAGTGGGCAAAATGCCCTTTAACAGATGGGTGCAAGGTTTGGCATGCCAGAGAACCAGCATGTTCATAAAATTGGAACACCAGGGCCAGTTTCTACCTAAAAATGTCAAAACTACAATCTGTGCAGTTTCTGGATCCATAGATGCAGGAGCACAGATAATTATTTCGGAACCTGCATAGATTAAAGCTGCATCTCTGGTACAATAATCAATTGCCCAAAAACTTATATGGAACTCTGCACTGGTGAGGCTGCATCTCAAATACTGTTTTCTGTTCTGGGTCCCTCACTACAGGAGCAATATTGAGGTGCTGGAGCAGGTCCAGAGAAGGTCAATGAAGCTGGTGAAGGGTCTGGAGCACAGGTCTTATAAGGAACAGCTGCAGGAACTGGAGAAGAGAAGGCTCAGGGGGAACCTGATTGCTCTCTACAAATACCTTGAAGGAGGACAGGAGCAGGGAGGTAGCTGATCTTTTTCCCAAGTGACAAGTGATAGGACAAGAGGTAATGGCCTCAGGCTGTGTCAGGGGAGGTTTAGACTGGATATTAGGAAAAATTTCTTCACTGAGAGAGTGATCTGGCATTGGCACAGGCTGCCCAGGGAATTGGTGGCACCACTGTCCCTTGAAGTGTAAATGAGGCCCTTAGTGACATGGTTTAGTGGTGGACTTGGTAGTCCTGGGGTAAGGGTTGGGCTTGATGATTTTAAAGGTCTTTTCCAACCTAGTTGATTCTACAACACAGTGTTAAGGCTCCTCCTGAGAACAAGTATATTAGGCTCAGCTACATTTGAACATCCATAAATTCTGGAAATACAGGAATTCACGCAACTACAGCATTTTATCCTTAACTCTGAATCTCTGAGCTGGGCACCACCACAATAGTGTTAGAACTCTGAATCACAGACGAAAGAAAAAACAAAACACCCAGAGAGTACAATGGATTTTGTTCTTCGGACATGGCAAATCAACACTATCTGAACATGCTCCAACTGCAGCTACAGCACCAAGTACAGCTGCATTCAGCTTTTAGGACATGAGTGAAGAGAGGTTGGAAAACTTACAACTGCATGAGAGGATACATGTGTATCTTTCAAGTTCAAGCATTCAGTTTAGCCCCAGACTTTAGCACAGTACTGTATTTAGGTTTTATCATAAAACCTATCAGCAGCTTGGTTACACACAGCTGAAGCTTAAGCACCTTTGTACAGAGTAAGTATAAGCAAAGTCTCCAAAGGAACCTTCAGTGCAGTAAAAAAGAAATATGAACAGTTAGCACCCCTGTGGCACTGGGCATAGCACATACTCATTGTTCGAGCTTAGACTGATGACCAAAGCCAGCTGCTTTCACAGCAAGAAGGTATTAAGACTCGGCTGCATATCTGACATGATCTAAGGCAGACAGAAGACCAGAATGCTGGCACACCTTTTTCTGTCATGCTGGTGTGCTGCTGGAAGCTGTATTGAGAGATGGGAGGGTGCCTAACAGTGTCAGGAAAATACAGCATTAAGATTAGCCATTACCAAACTGGATGTCACAGAGCTCTTAACTAAGATCTTCAGGAAAACAATTTCTTTGATTTATTTGTATACCTTTTCTGGCTCTGTAGCAACAGGTCTTGCTTCCCACACTTTGTTTTCTAATGATGGCAGAACTATGTAAAACCAGCAGGAAACGTATGATCACAAGCATGGGGACAATGGAGTGTGCTTTGCACAGGGCATAGACATGAAAGAGTCTTAGTGACTGGAAAGAAAGAGCAAATATACACAGTGTCTTCCCTTTTTCTCATGTTTTGCTATTCTTCTTTGTCTCAGCTGTCTCATTTAAACCATAGGAGGAAGCATACGCCTGCATCCCACCTCCCTGTTAGTGGAGATAGCACTGAAGAGATCTTAGATTAGTTCCCTACTCAGACAGCAGGGAAGCAAAGAAAACCCTCTGAATCACTGGCCTGGAAAGAAAGTGTGACCACATACTCCTTCCTTCTGGTTCCAGTGTGGTCACCTCCTAAGGCCCTAATTTATTTGTTTGGAACACCAAACCCGCACTTCGAAAAATCCCATCTTTTTCGAGGTTTCATTGCTGTAATGGGTTTTCAATCACCTATTCTGAACCTGTTTGTGTAAGTAACAACTGGTACATGAGAACATACTTTCAATGCCAAAGGCTGCTGTCATGACACTTCAGCCTATCTACTACGAGTCATCACTCTCAAATAAATCCCTTTGTCTGATATCCATCCACACCTAATTTGTATTTTTGAGCTCTATAGGAGAGATTGTTCCACAACTGGCTTCTGCCACAGACTACACTGTGGTAGCAAGAGAGCTTTTCCAACCCCCTCCATCTTCCACAGTTGTACACTGTGATGCCACTATGCTGCTGCACTGAGACTTGGAAGTCAACCAGCAGGCCAAAACAACCTGCTGACCCCCAAACTATCTTGCCATTACTGTTAACACAGGAGGTGTGAGGACCTCCTCCACTCACAGGTATTGCAGTTAAAGAGCAAGTAATACTCTATCCTTAACTCTGTATTAGAACCACTGCTGTGCTTTCACGTTCCATACGAAAGAGAGAGAGAAAGAGAGAGAGAAAGAGAGAGAGAAAGAGAGAGAGAAAGAGAGAGAGAAAGAGAGAGAGAAAGAGAGAGAGAAAGAGAGAGAGAAAGAGAGAGAAAGAGAGAGAGAGAAAGAGAGAGAAAGAAAGAGAGAGAGAAAGAGAGAGAGAAAGAGAGAGAGAAAGAGAGAGAGAAAGAGAGAAAGAGAGAGAGGAAGAGAGAAAGAGAGAGAGGAAAGAGAGAAAAAGAGAGAGAGAGAGAAAGAGA